AACTCTAGCTAATTTAAACAGAAAGGTTTTACAAGGAGGAATTAGGAATTTATAAAATTACTAGAAGGGTTAGTGGAACAGAGTTGATGCTGCACTTCCAGGAACAACTTCCAGACAATACTGTAGAACTGATTCAACATGGGTACCATGCTTATCACACTTATGGAGCTGGGGAATTAGGAAGCCATCTCCATAGCTACTGACTCTGCCATAATCTGAATCATTAAACTAGAGGCCCTGTTCCCTGTCTTTCATCACCATGAAATTTAGAGACTGAAAAATGCTGGAACCTTGGCTCAAGCTGTCTCAGAAAAACCAACATCTGCCAACAGAAATGACAAAAATGCAATGTCTACCTCAGAATGCTCACTTTTACCTTCCATATCTCACTAAGGTACATCTGTTTTATAGAAACTAGGCTTCATGAATCCAAGCTAAAGGGGCTTCTGGGAAATGTAGTCTTTAGGTTTCCAGACTCAAGCAATAAAACTTGAGTATATCAATCTATGATGTCAGCTACATCAGACACCAAATTATTAGAGCCAGCCCAGAGCACCACCCATCTGGTTCCACCCTGGGACATAAAGACAGCCCACCCAAATGTTGGCCAGTGGTAGCTGACCTAATGAAAAAACATTTCTTGGAGCCAGATTTCTCTCAGGATTTTGGGATTGGGACACTGAAGAATTGAGTCAATAGACAGAGGGCTTTTTAGATTTTAGGTTAAGTAGATTTGAGTTGGAATGATGACCGGTTGTGTGTGAACAAATAGCATTATACACATATTCGTTGAGAAATATGAAGGTAAATACCAAAAGAAATGACATATGTTAAAATTTTGAAGAAGGGGCCAAGGAATTTCTTTTGTTGTTTATAATCATTTTGCTATTTGAACTTTTTAACTTTATGCTTGTATTGTTAGGATTAAAAATTAAATTAATAACTAAACAACCAAATGAATGCCCCAAACTTGGGCCTTGATGCCAGAACAACTAACTTACACATCACAGCACCACTAGCTGAACGGAGGGAGCTCCAGACAATCTAGTCCTTACTTGCCTCTCTTCCCACCTAGCACCTCCACTGCTTTAAAGTTGGGGAGAGGGGGGATTTTACATCCAAACCAGTTTCTGAGAACTTTGAATGCCGAGCCAAGGAGTTGATCACTCCAGCAAGGGGATAGCTGTAAGTAAAGGAATAACTTTAATGTAAGCAGAATGCTTGCTTAACTGTGTACAAGATAAATTTAAAAGAGATTGACGGCAGCCAGGAGAGTGGTTAGAAGATTAAAAATAGGATCCTGAACTAAGTTGATGACAATGGAATTGGAGAGAAAAGGTTGGACAAAGACATATAACAATGGAGTAAATTTAGTATCTTCCAATTTTCCAGAACCCTTTCTTTTAGGGACTACCCCCTCACCCAGTCCATGCGATTTTGGTGGTGAATTAGGGTAAACTCATGTTCTCAAAACTAAAGAAGATACATGTCCCAGAGTGGCCAGTGTCCTTCCATGGACAGTGTTTTGATTCACAGACATAACACAAAGTGAATCAAGACCTTTCTGGAAACCTTTCTCCCAATGCTACTGGGGAAGATGCTCTCCTTCACCATAAATTTTGAGGTGCCAGAGTTCATCATGCTGCCATGCAGAGAGGTCCTATCAAAACAGAGTCACACAGAGCTCTGATAACATCATTTGAACCACTGAATCCCTCCAAACCTGTACAGATCAATTTTTTGGTAATGTCAGCCAAAAAGTTAATTTTCTTGCTTATGGATTGGATTTCTGTCATATGCAACAGAAAGAGGGTTTATTAATAAAGTCAAAGATGGCTTAATTTACATATCAACAAAAATTTACAGTGTATCTACCAAATGAATAATTTAACATCAAGTACAATGGGAGATAAAAAGGAATTTTAAGGCATGCCGCATACACCTTGGGATTTATTCCAACTTTGTCACCAATTACCAATGTGACATCAGCATTGTGATAGCTCCGGGATTCATTCTTTTCTTCCTTTAAAGTGTGGGAACAGGGCAGACTGGTGTGGTTCAGTGGTTGAGTGTCAACCTATGAACCAAAAGGTCGTGGTTCGATTCCCGGCCAGGGCACATGCTTGGGTTGCAGGCTCGATCCACAGTAGGGGCATGCAGGAGACAGCCGATCAATGATTCTCCCTCACCATTGATGTTTCTCTCTCTCTCTCCCTCTCTCTTCCTCTCTGAAATCAGTAAAAATATATATATATTTTTAAAAAGGACTTTCTGCGCCGCTCAGGGGGCCTAGTGTGCACAGCAGATGGCCTCCAGCTGTTAGCTCACTTTTGGTCTGCCTCAGCTGCAGTCTTGTCCCTCCCAGGGCCCACAGATGCTAACCAGCAAAGGGAGGAGTATAAAGGCTGGGTGGCAGTGGGACACTCTGACCTACAATACTAGGTCCAGAGCTCCCTGTCTCATCATCTGCTTCTGGCAAACCTAATTGCACCCCAAATGAACTCATGCAACCAACATGAACAGAATTATCATCTCAGACCTCTTACAACTAACTGAAGTTGCAAATGTGAAATATCAAAATTCTTGTCACTGCTTCCAGTGATGATTTTACCTGAATCCCAGGAAACAAACCAAGTTCCTTTTTTATTTTTTTATTCAGGGATATTTTTATTTTATTTATTACTCTTTATTGTTGATAGTATTACATATGTCCCCTTTTCCCCCCATTCACCTCTCTCAGCCTGCTCCCACCCTCTACCCCAGACCTTCACCACACTATTATCTGTGTTCCTGGATTATGTATATACGCATACAAGTTCATTGGTTGATCTCTTCCCACCTGCCCACTCTCCCCTGCCTTCCCTCTGAGGTTTGACATTCTGTTCAGTGCTTCTATATTTTTGGATCTATTTTTGTTCATTAGATTCCACATATGAGTGAGATCATGTAATACTTATCCTTCTCAGGCTTATTTGCTTAGCATAATGCTCTCCCAGTCTTTCCATGCTGTTGCAAATGGTAAGAGTTCTTTCTTTTTTACAGCTGTGTAGTATTCCGTTATTTAGATGTACCAGGTTTGTGTGTGTGTGTGTGTGTGTGTGTGTGTGTATTCATTCTTATTGATTTCGGAGAGAGGAAGGGAGAGGGAGAGAAATAGAATCAATGAAGAGAGAGAATCATTGACCAGCTGCCTCCTGCACGCCCCCATTCTGTCAGGCATGTGCCTTTGACTAGAATCAAACCCAGGACCCTTCAGTCCGCAGGCTGACACTCTATCCCCTGAGCCAAACCAGCTAGGGCTAGATGTACCAGTTTTTAATCCACTCATCTGCTGATGGGCACTTAGGCTGTTTCCAAATCTTAGCTATGGTAAATTGTGCTGCTATGAACATAGGGGTACATATATTCTGTCAAGTTCCTTTTTAACGGCCTACCTGCTTAGCCAAAATATTATTGTTGCCTTATCCACAATAGTTTTCTACCTAAATTTGTATGCACACACCCCACCCAGACACACATGGCTTGAAGTTCCCACAACCAGCACTGCAACTAATCTAGGTAGGTTCTATCACCAATTACCTTTGGGAACCTGGGCAAGTTATCTACCAATCTGTGCCCTATTTCCTTATCTGTAAAATAGGGATAATTATCTGATAGGGTTGTTGTGATGAGTAAATGAGCTATTACATTAAAATGTGTGTAGAACAGCCCTGGCCTGTGTGGCTCAGTTAGTTGGGTATTGTCCTGTGCACCAAAGGGCTGCCAGTTCAACCCAGGTCAGGCCACACGCCCCAGTTGCAGATTCCTGGTAGGGATCCTGCAGGAGGCAGCCAATTGATGCTTCCTTCTCACATTGATGTCTCTCTCTCTCTCTCTCTCTCTCTCCCTTCCTCTCTGAATATACAAACATTTAGGACCAGCCTGGCCGGTATGGCTGTGGTTGAACTGGATCTATGAACCAGGTCACCCTTGGATTACAGTCAGGGCTCATGCCCCGGTTGTGAGCTTGACCCCCATTGGGGGTCATGCAGAAGCTGCCCATCCGTGATTCTCTGACCTATGATTCTCTCTCATCATTGATATTTCTCTCCCTCTCCCTCTCCCTTCCTCTCTCTGAAATAAATAGATTTTTAAAAAATTTAGGAATGTTTGCTATTACCAATCCTAGGAAATCATCTATGCAGCAGTACTGAAAATTGTGTTCAGTTAAGGGTTAAGCTTTTCCCCGCAATGCCTTTGATATGTATTCACATATCAAAGGGGCATTTTTAAGAAAAATAAAAACTGCCCTGGCTTTTGACTACCAGTTGGGTACTTGCTGCCATTGGTGCAGTGCCGGAAAACATGATCCAATTTTCATTTAGCTATTTCTGCGGGGCCTCGAAAAGCTAAAATATTGCCAACATTGGGACCTATAGTTTAATGTACTAAAACAATCCTCCCCCAAGAAATGTAAATATTTCAAAGTGCCGGTTTGAAAAACCGACTCCACGGATCTCACACAAAATGAAAATACACAACCCGCCGGCTTCTGCGATGTTGTTTTTAACGAGAGAGGGAGTGGGGCTGCGGTTAAAAACCCGAACGCTGGGGCCAGCAACCAGTGCCAGAGACTGGCCGGTGGGTGCGGGCGGCGGGCGCTCCTGGGGGAGGGGTGCCGCTGGCGAGAGATGCCAGGACAGCGAGCGACTCTCATCTTTCCCGTGGGCACCGCGGGGACGCCGCTGCCTCTGCCCGCTCCTACGGGCGCCTCTCCGGCCCCACTGGGGTCACCACCCAAGAGCTCCGTTGGGAGGAGCGCCCCGAAGGCTCAGCTCTCGGCCGGGCCAGCTGGGGCCCCGGACACGCCAGCATCGGGGAGGCGGGGAAGCGGGGGGAGGCGGGGGAGGCAAAGGGCGTTTCCGACCCAGACTCCAGTGGGAAAATCAGGAAAAGAGGAGGTGGTTGCGCAACTGGAGCCGGGGTGCGGCTCGGAGAACAAAGAGGCCGTGGTCGCCCAGAGGCGCTCCGCTCCTCCGCGCGCACCTCGCGGTCCCGCGAACGCTCTCCGGTCCCCGCCGCCGGGGCGGGGCGCCAGAGCTAAGAGCCGGAGGGTTCTCGAATCCCGCCGGGCCCTGCAGGACCACAGGCTCCATCGGGCAGCACCAGGCATCCGCGTGCTAAACGAGCGTCCGGGCTGACTCGGGCCCTGGAAGTTCGAAAACCACCGGCCCACGTCTAACAGCGCCTCGACCTCACGGCGCCAACGCGCCCAGCTCCGCGGCGGCCGCTTGGCCACGCCCACCGCGCCGGGTCCTTTCCCTTAGTCCCGCCCCACTGCTCAGCGCGAATTGGTGGCGAGGAGCAACGGTGGCGCTGATTGGCTGGCGGAGAGTCGCTCGTGGAGACCGTGATTCGAGGCGCTCCAGGGTGCTAAATTTATCTTCTGAAGAGCGACCGCGCCAGCCGCGAGCCGGATCTCTGTGGAGGTGGCCTAGGCGGTGTCCCTGAACTGAGAGCATCACCCTGCCCCCGAGTCCTTCTCCCCGGCTTTATTTTTCATTTCCCCCCTCTCGCCTCCTCCCCCCCAGTCCGCGACGGCTGGCTCTTGACCCTGTCCAGGCCTTGGTGAAGGTGAGGACCCGCGCGGCCGCGGCGGCTGGTGGTGCGCTCTGAAATGGCCGCCGCCTGGAGCTGTCTGTCCAAAATGGCGGCCGCGGGCTCGCTGGGACGGCGGCGCTGCCCTGCAGCCTGGCCGCACTAGACCATGCTCTCCATCTCCGACGGAGGCGAAGTAGAAAGCTAGTGTGGGGTGCTCAGACGCGTCCATGTGGTGGTTAGCCGAGGCGGCCGTCCGGGGACGCGAGAGGAGATTTGTGTCGGCGAGGGTGGGCCCCGACCGGAAGCGAGCCCAGGTGTGGCGGTCGGGGAGCATCGCACGCCGGAGACGGGGAAGAGCTGAGGGTTGGCTGTCCCCGGCCACACATCGAGGTGACCGTTGCTGAAAGCATTTCGGTGCTGGAAGGGGTGCCCGTCCCCAGCGCCTGCCTAGGCTTTCTGAGTGGACTGCACGCCTGCCGAGCCCTCTCGTCCCTGAGGGTATTGTCCAAACCCAGAGGGTGGAGGTGAAGGGAATGTGCTACCTTTCAGCTTAGCCGGAAGAAACAAGAAAAGTGAGGGAGCCGCCCTTTTCAGGGGGTGGAATAGAAACTTTGCTCTCTAGGGAGTCCAGACTTGGTCCTCGAGAAATGGGGGGACGCACCTCTGAAGGGGGGCTGAGGTCCTCTTTCCTGAAGACGGGCGTCCCACCCCGCTGTGCCCTCTGGCAGCGGAAGAGAGGGATCCTAATCTTTTAGATCCACCAGCAGCTCCACGAAGCTCTCTGTTGCTCAATCCAAAGACAGACTATGGGAAGGAAATCTGCTCTTTTTGCTCCCAAATAACGGAGAAGTGGGGCTTTCTACTGCTGCCAGTTTTGAGATCCTCGACTTTCTGACAGTGGTAACCCATTACTCCCCGCACCATCCAACTTCTGGTATCAGATTTTTGGTGCTTAGAAAATTAAGGTTATTCAGGGACACACATGTAGGTTCTGCACTCAAACTTTTTGGGTTCTGTAAGTTCTTCACTTAAAAGGTGACTTCTCTGTGTCTATTTGTTCATCACCAAAGTGGCGTTATTGATAGTCCCTGACTCTCAGGTTTGTCGTAAGGATTAGATGAGTTCTATAAGGGATTCAGCAATTACTGGCACAGTGTAAACAGTGATCACTCAGTATGCATCAGTAACCTTGGAGATTGGTTAATGAGGGGACAAATGGTTATAGCAAAAAGGCATATTTCATGTAACACTTCCATGTATCAGTTGCTTCCATTTTAGATTACTCTTAGTGCTTCGTTTTAGAGACAAAGTGTGGCTGTACTTTTAAAAGTTAGGTTTAGTTTTTGAACGTTTCAATGAAGTCACTGGATGGAAGAGCATCTCAAAACAAATTACCAGGGTATTAACTAGGACAAAAATATTAGCATATTTATTATAGGCATCTTATGTTTCAGTCCAAGGTCTGCATTGCATGAAGAATCATTTGCACTGCCAGGATCTAAAATAAATTGTAATGGATGGTCAACCTAGAGGTATGTAGTTAGTGCTGCCTTTACTGTCTCTAATTTTAATTTTTCTCATTCTAGGCTATTGGTTACTCCCCTTCCATCCCACCCCTTAATTTTATTCTTTTGAAGAGTCTACATTTCAAGCTGCCAAGGTGGAGAATGTGATTCCAGAAGGGGAGTACTCCTCATTTCAGGTATCTTACCCTCTAGCTATTAATAGGAAAACCATTTTGATTCAGGATCCCAGGATCTAACGTGAGAATACAAAGGTTACTCTGTAGCCAAGTCAAAGTGTAAATCAAAAGTAGCTGTATTTGGATTGACACTAAATTCTTGTATCTTATGAAGCTAGTAGTATTCTTTAGAGGTCGTAAAATTTGTGTTACCTTTGCTTTTAATTATGCTTTAAAATATATATATGAGGAATAAACCTATTAAAATTACAGTTTATGTTTTTAGGTCTTGGTTAAGTTTTCATCTATAGTATAACAAGATGCAGAGTAATCAGTAAATAATACATTATTTTGAGTGAATCAGTTTGTAAATACTTACGTAATTTTCAGTTCAGAGAAATAGTAGCTAACTTTTGGTCTACAGTTTATTTTTCAATTTCAACACACAGTATTTAGGATATAGCAGAATTCCATGTCTTGCAAAACTTGAACTGTTTGTGTGTTTTTAATACAGCTTAATAGTTATTAGCCCTGAAAGGAGCCTTCAGATATATAATAGTATCAACAATGAATGTATCTAATGGCAACAGGCATCAGAAAGCTAAAAGAGATTCCAAGGTACCATGAAAAGGGGTTGGTAAATTATGCCCTATGCTGTTTTTGTAAGTAGAGATTTATTGAAATACAACTGTGCCCATTTTTTACATATTGTGTATAGCTGCTGCCATGCTACAACTACAGAATTGAGGGGTTGCAACAGAGTTCATATGGCTCATAAGTAAAAAATATTGATTATATTGCCCTTTACAGAAAAAGTTTGCCAACCCTTGCCATGGGACCTATTCTTCAAGTTCCTTTAAAAACATGCTTATCAATTCTATTATTTCTTAACCCAGTAGTTCCCAAATTGTTTTTTATAGAATATTCTCTTAAGTTAATAAGTGTTCTGAGAAAAAAGGTCAATGCTAACAATAGGTTTTTTTAATAGTTTATCTTAAGATATAAGTTTAAGACTACTAAACTCATTTCTATAGCTTTTATTTTTATGTGATAATCTACCTTTAAGAAAAGGTGTGCCATACCTGAGAGCACCAGGAAATCGCATGAGAGATCACCTGATAGACGAACGTGTGATGCTCCATCTGCGCATTGATGCATAGGCAGCATTTACAGATTAACTGATGTGTTGCTATATATCATCTCTTTGATGATTGCTCATCTTCTATGTATCCTGTCTTATAATTTCAACAAATTTGTGATACTCAATGTTTATTCTAAACTAACCATGTTTTGTACCACAAATACATTGCCTATGGATCTATTGCCGAAACAAGGAAGTCTTAAACAAGAAGTAGAATCATTTTATCAAATTGTGTCTGAATCAAATGATCAAAAAGTTGGAATATTACAAAGTGAAGATGAACAGTTGCAGCCATCAGTTTCTAAAAAATCAGAAGATGAGCTTTCCAGGGTTCAATTTATGTCCAATTCCAACAAAATAACATTTAGTAAGAAACCAAAAAGAAGAAAATATGATGAAAGTTATTTGTCTTTTGGATTTACTTACTTTGGAAATAGAGATGCACCTCATGCTCAGTGTGTGTTATGTAAGAAAATTTTATCAAATAGCTCTTTGGCCCCTAGTAAGCTTCGAAGACATTTGGAAACAAAACATGCTGCATTTAAAGACAAAGACATAAGCTTTTTCAAGCAACATCTTGATTCACCTGAAAATAACAAACCCCCACCACCTAAAATTGTCAATACAGATAACGAAAGTGCTACAGAGGCATCGTACAATGTAAGTTACCATATAGCCCTGAGTGGAGAGGCTCATACTGTTGGAGAATTGCTTATCAAACCTTGTGCAAAAGATGTCGTGATGCGGATGTTTGATGAACAATACAGTAAAAAAATAGATGCAGTGCAACTATCAAACAGTACTATTGCACGCCGAATTAAGGATCTAGCTGCTGACATTGAAGAAGAGCTTGTTTGTAGACTGAAAATTTGTGATGGGTTTTCGCTGCAGCTAGATGAATCAGCTGATGTTTCAGGACTTGCTGTGCTACTTGTGTTTGTTCGTTACCGGTTTAATAAGTCTATTGAGGAAGACCTACTGTTATGTGAATCTCTGCAAAGTAATGCTACTGGTAAAGAAATTTTCAACTGCATCAACAGTTTCATGCAGAAACATGAAATTGAATGGGAAAAATGTGTTGATATTTGTAGTGATGCTTCTAGGGCAATGGATGGGAAAATTGCTGAGGCTGTCGCCTTGATGAAGTATGTGGCTCCAGAAAGTACCAGTAGTCACTGCCTATTATATAGACATGCACTAGCAGTTAAAATAATGCCTACATCTCTAAAAAATGTGCTAGATCAGGCAGTACAAATCATCAATTATATTAAAGCTCGACCACATCAATCCAGACTACTAAAAATTTTATGTGAAGAAATGGGTGCCCAGCACACAGCACTTCTTCTAAATACAGAGGTGAGGTGGCTTTCCCGAGGTAAAGTTCTTGTAAGACTTTTTGAGCTTCGTCGTGAACTATTGGTTTTCATGGATTCTGCTTTTCAACTGTCTGATTGTTTAACAAATTTATCTTGGCTCCTAAGACTTGCATATCTTGCAGATATTTTTACTAAATTAAATGAGGTTAATCTGTCAATGCAAGGAAAAAATGTGACAGTGTTTACAGTATTTGATAAAATGTCATCATTGTTAAGAAAATTGGCATTTTGGGCCTCATCTGTAGAAGAAGAAAACTTTGATTGTTTTCCTACACTAAGTGACTTTTTGACTGAAATTAATTCTACAGTTGATAAAGATATTTGCAGTGCCATTGTGCAGCACCTACGGGGTTTGCGCTCTACTCTGTTAAAATATTTTCCTGTAACAAACGACAATAATGCTTGGGTTAGAAATCCATTTACAGTATCTGTGAAACCAGCCTCATTAGTAGCACGGGACTATGAGAGCCTGATTGATTTAACATCTGATTCTCAAGTGAAACAAAATTTCAGTGAACTTTCCCTAAATGATTTTTGGAGTAGCCTAATTCAAGAGTACCCAAGTATTGCAACGCGTGCAGTTCGTGTACTTCTTCCTTTTGCTACAATGCACCTGTGTGAAACAGGATTTTCATATTATGCTGCAACAAAAACGAAATATCGGAAAAGGCTTGATGCTGCACCTCACATGCGGATCCGACTTAGCAACATTACACCTAATATTAAGCGGATATGTGATAAAAAGACACAAAAACACTGTTCTCATTAAAATCGAAGGGTTTTGCATGTCTCATGATAACCAAATATAAGATGAAAATAAAAGATGATTTACTTTATATCTGGCATTTGGGGATTTTAAATAAAATTATTCAAGTGTTTTATATTGCTTAGATTTTAAGAAAATGAAAAGAATCAAAAATTTATGTATTATCAGTATTTCTGCTTCACATAATTTCAAAGGGTCTCATGGTCATTATCTTGACTCACAAGATAAAGTCCCAATTCCTTAGCATAACATACCTCTTTAGAATCTAATCCTTACTAATCTTTCAAGCCATGTTTCTCCTGCAACCCACCAGTCTTGTGGAATTTCTTGCCATTCCGTAAGCATCACACTTTCATGCTGTCAGGTCTCAAAAAACTATTCCTTCCCCTTCTTGCTTCCTGACTAATTCCTAGTTGCTTTTCAGCACTATAACTTAATTTATCTTAGGTACTCTCATTCTCTACCTTTCTATTTTGGCCTTATTTTTTGTGTCTGTCTCAACTGTGACGGTTTGGTAGTCTCATGTTTCCCAGTTGGACTGAGCTCCTATAGGGTCTTATCCAGCTCTGTGTCTTCATTATTGGCAAAAGGACTTACTGAAGTGATGCTCAATAAAGGAAAGAACGTTGAAGGTGAACAATAATAAATGGAATAGGGTGTGGTGGATTATATGTGTATATTCTGCATATTTACAGAATGCTACCCTTTGTGATTTTTAGCTCAATTTTTCTGTTACCTAGAATTCAGTATGGCTGTTAGGCAAAAGTCACTAAGAATGTCATGGCTCTGGTTTAAGCTGGACTATTGGGGAAGATGGGAGGAAGTATGAAGAATATTTTCAGGTCTTGTTTCTTAGTTCATATGTACATTATTGCAAATTCCATACACTGTAATCTAAATTAATGAGACTTTACTTGAAGATGATGAGACTCTAAACCTATCAATTTATTCTTAGAATACTATGAAAAATTTCTGACATTCCTGTCTCTAGGCTTCTCTTCCCATATCACACCACACAACACAGATCACCAACTCAAGACCTACTATAATCAAGAGCTACTGCAGATAGCCATTATTTATTTAATCTCACTTATTCATACCTGTCTCCCATTTTGGGAAGTAGGAGTACCTTCCCTCACTACAGCAGGATGTGGTAGAATCACTAGATCTAGGTACCTGCTCCACTGTTCAACTAGCTACTTAACACTGGGCAATTGAGCCTTCCTGAACCCCAGTTATCTCATCTGTAAGATAATTATGCCTTCTCTAAAGGGTTATTCAGATTAAATGAGAATGCATAAAAAAACTTCTCACAGGGTGAGTAGGAATAGATATGCAGCATATATTATTCCCTGCATATCCAACTATGTCTCAGTTAAACTTCACTCCACACTCACACTTCCAAGTCTTGAGTTTTTATTCTCTATGCAAAAAGCCCTCCAGGCGACAGGACCCGAGTTCATTTGAGGCAGCAAGATTAAGCATCTCTAGCCCATGCTTTTCCCCCTTTGTCACATTATTAAGCAGCTATTTATATGTCAGGTATCTTACTAGATGCCTGTATGTTATCTATGATCTTTACAACAATCCTAAAGGATTAGGCAATTTTTAAATTTGGCCATGGTCACAATAAATGCCAGAACTTAGTTTTAAATGGATCTTTTCCAAAGACTTTTTGCAGTTACTGCCTTTCAAATTTTTCTAATAGCATCAAATGGTGACTTGGAAGTATAGCTAAAACATCCTACTAAAATCTGAACATTTCTTTGAAATTTTGTGTTACTTTTTCTAGATTCATCCAAAATTAGCTATTTCAAAGTATTACTGCTTATTTCAAATGTACATATGTAAAAAACAGGGATTACATTGGTATCAAGTAAAATTAATTTTCCGAAAAGATTCATTATAACACATGCAGTACTTTTTGTCAGCTAATCCCAGAATTAAATCTACCCTAGTTTGAGAAGCATGTATAATACCGTAATGTCTACATCTGATGGATAGGTACCTCAAATCTGGTAACTAGACCCCTTAGGTGATTGCTGAACTAGAGCCCTTGATTATGTCATCTGTCCAGGATGTCAGCCTCTTAAGAAATAAGACCTCTTGTGCTTTACAGTTTTCCCCCTAACCTCTTCTGAGAGTCTAGATTCCTGCATTTAAACTTGTCTATTGACTGGGACCCTCCTATCTGCTACTAAATCTCTTCAGTCCCAGCCCTCCCCAACTTGGTTCTTGATGCCAACTGCTCACCTGTTTTCTAAGAATACTAGAGGTCCGATGCATGAAATTCATGCAAGGGGCTTGGCCCTTGTAGCCACGGCAGCTTGCCTCGGCCCTCGCAGCCCTGGCTTCCTCCAGTAGGTCATTTGGCTGTCCAGTCTAATTAGCATATTATGCTTTTATTATAGATTCAAAATAATATTTTCATGTGTCTTCGAATGACAGTTACCCTTCCTGCCTGTTCATGAAATAGTAAAATTCCCCTAATGTGTTCAACCCAAAAGGATTTTCCCACTTTTAATCCCTATATGTCTAGTAATAGAAATTGTCTTGATTTCTCAATTAGGGTTATTTCCTATGTCAGTTTTGTGCTATTACCATACATATGTAAATATACAAATTATACTCTCATAGCTAAGACTTATTTTGAATCATTTACAGAACTTAGCAAATTTTTAATACAAAAAGTGCTCAGTGAATTGAATTCCCTAGCTTAAAGGGTGAAGTATTAATGTGAAATACAGTTCATACTATAACATGAAAATTAGCTTTAAAGTCCTTAGCCTCACTAAAACAGATAAGGCAGTAACTATTTGCCTTTCAAAGATTTCAAAAACATTTTTTTAATAAGCCCCCATGTTGCTTTAAAAAATGCAGTTTAACTCCCCAAAATATAATTCACCTACAATTATTTTTTTTTTATTTTTTATTGTCTAAAGTTTTACATGTCTCCTTTTTCTCCAATTGACTCCCCCCGCCCAAGCCTGGTTTTGTTTTTTTTTGTTGTTAATCCTCACCCAAGGATACTTTTCCATTAATTTTTAGAGAGAGGGAAAGACAGACAGAAACTTACTGATTGGTTGCCTCATGCACAAGTCCTGACGCTCTATCCACTGAGCAAAACTGGCTAGGGCCACCTACAATTCTTGAAAAACATCATCTATGTGCATCTGAAATTTAGCATGTTTGTTATTTACTTTATCTTTTGAAGTTGTTGTAACTGCACTGTTAATTAGTACAGTGGAAAGAATTCTAAGCAGGTATCAAGAGACTTGTGTTCTGCAGCTAATTAGCTGCCTTAGATAAGTTCATCCTCTCTAGAACTTAGTTTCTTCATTTATTAAATGAAAGGGGTTGAACAAGAATAGAATGAGCCCTAAAGTTCTTGTCAAATAAGATCAAAATTTAAACCTAAACAAAGGCTAGCGCAATGGTATGATGTGCTCAGTTACTTAAAATACATGGTTGTTTTCTAGGAAGCCAACCTTTTTTAAAAATAGTTTTACTGACTTCAGAGAGAGAGAACCATCAATGATGAAAGAATCATTTACCAGCTGCCTCCTGCATGCCCCACACTGGGGATCGAGCCTGCAATCTGAGCATGTGCCCTGACTGGGAATCGAACTGTGATGTCCTGGTTCATAGGTCAATGCTCAACCATGCCGGCCAGGAGGAAACCAAGCTTTTTCAATGACTCTTTACCATAATATTTTCCACCAACCAAATAATAAGATGTATAAATTTCCTCATCATGAATATTTACTAGATAGAAGGACATACTTTTTCAGAAGGGAGATGCACTTTGAAATTTAGAAAGCATTGGAAAAACTAAAATATCTGTGATTATGACTATATTGAAACCCAGTGTATATTAAATAATAACTAAAGTGTCAGGCAGGCTGCAGTGGAAATTGCTATGTCCCCAGCATCTCTTTTCCTCTCCCAAATAATACCCTCATTTTCTTTCAAGTGTCCATTCTTCCCCTATATAATCCATGTATGTAAGCAAAAGCTAACCCCACTCCAGCTTGGGGAATTTTGTCTTAAGCTAGTAGCTTTCAGTTTTTTGTTTCTCCAATTCGCATTAAGAAACAGATTTTACATTATAATCTAGGTGTGTATAGTATATGTATGAACACCAAAGTCATAAAACAGTACTAACCCTTCATATGTGCAATGCAATCTCTCATCTTTTTTATAATAGGACCCAAAGATTAAATTTATGATCCATTCTTGGGTTATGTGATCCACCACCATTTGAAAAATACTGGTGAATGTAATGCCATTGCCCTTAACAAAAATTGTTCAGGAACTTGGATCTAAGCCTATTAAGACATAGTATTACTCTAGCCACAGGAATTGGTCCAGGAATAGTATGTGACCCAATACAGGCTAATGAAAAGCAAGGGCAGTATTATAGGAGCCTTGAGAAAAGACGTGTCCTCCCCCTTTAGGAAGAAATAAATGTCGGGTGTCCTTTAAAGGCCTGGAATTGCTACAGCTGTCTAGCTACCAGCATGGGTATAAAGCCAACATATAGAAGAGGACAGAGCCAAAAAATTAGTGAGAAATGAAACCAGAGCTCTGATTGAACCACATTTGATCACTGTTCTGCCTTTAATTTTTTTTTGTTACCTAGGGCAATAACTGCCTTTTATGTTTAAGACACATTCTATTGGGTTTTCTATTACCATAAGCAAAATCATCTAATATAGTGGTCTAAAATGAAAGCAGTATAAAACTAGGATGTATTAGTAAACTTAGCTGCAGTGATAAGTGCCATCCCAAACTAAGATTATCTGATTTTTGGTTATTCAGCCATCTACCACAGTGTTATCAGTCAAAACTCTGTCACTGGTAATATCTTACAAACCAGAAGCTAAATCACCACATGCTTTGACATTAGATATCAAATGCCATTTATTTCTCTTAGTGAAACAACTTGATAATATATGGATTTTACTTAGTAGCTTGGGCTGGATTCGTTATGAATCGGTTATATAATTCAAATTAGAAATTAACCTTGAGCCTAGCTAGCTTGGCTCAGTGGTTGAGTATTGACCTATTCATGGTTTTATTTCTGGTCATAACACATGCCCAGGTCGCAGGCTC